ATACAAAATTTGGGGAAAAGCATGGAAGCAGCAGATACCTGATCGCAGTTAGTGGTCCCCAGACGCTGACCTGACCTTTGATGTACAACTGAACCACGAATGTATCATATATGGATGCAGCTATAGAGGCAAAGACGAAAGCAGAGTCCCAGAGGGACGTGGTCTCTGGCAGGACCTGGATTGCAGCCCGGAACCAAATATCACCCACCAAAATATTGCGAATATCAGGCGTTGCACCCGGTACCTGGGTACCTCCCGCTGCAGAGTAAATGGTGAGCACAATATTTCCACCGCGAAATCACAACAATTCTGTTAGGAAGTCACAAACTTTTGAAAATCTCCGTGATACTCTCTGCTCCCGTAACTTGTGAACATCATGCCATGACCTCCTCCACAAGACCACTGTGATGTCAGGATTCTGGAATTAGGGTTAGGCCGTACTTACACTGGGGTTTTTCCAAATGAACATACTACATAGTCATAACTCCAGTCAGAAATATTCAGGAAAGTCCGAGCATGAGTATACCATCCGATATGAATCCCCAGTTTCTTTTCTGCACAACCATTGAGTTCAGCATCACCCAAGATAGGGCACATTGGTGGACAGGGACAAAAAAACAGACAAACAAGGGACGGGGAGAGGCACAGACACACACACACACACACACACACACACACACACTCGGACAAAACAGTCTGGCACAGTCAATGACATGCGTTTTTTGAGTGTATAGCGAATATGACAACACACGCAAAGAGAGAGTCTGTGTGTGTGTGTGTGTGTGTGTGTGAGAGAGAGAGAGAGAGAGAGAGAGAGAGAGAGAGAGAGAGAGAGGATGGACGCAAATGGAGGAGTAATCAAAGAGAAAATATTTGAGCCCAAGAAGTTGTAGCAGATGGATGAAAGCCACACAATTTAATGAATCATTGTTTAGTACTAGTAGACTAAGTAGGAAAAAGATGGACAAACGTATCAAGTGCTGGGTGAAGTCGTGGTCCGTTTTGACCCCTCTGCAAATGGAAAATGGTGTCACTGCCACTCGCGCTCAGCAGCAGCCATCTCCTCAAAGGGACTAGTGTAATGACCCGTCAATACACGGACTGAAACATACAGTCGATTTCTGATTTCTGCTCATAGGATGCATGCCGTACTAAGTTCCCTGCCTGTCTCTTATACACATCTAGATGTGTATAAGAGACAGGTGCCGCCAAGAAGGAACTGAGAATCTCAACCAGGGACCTGGAGGAACAGCAGCAGGGATTGGTCATGCAGGGTGAAGTCTGCAGTTTGAACACAGCAAGGGGAATGTAAGACTGAGACGTCAGAGTCTCAAAAGGCTCGTATGGAAACCATCTCACGGCGCCAATACATACTCGTACGGGCCTCCCAGCACACTGGAAGGCTCGTGCACAATCACGGATGACATAAACACCGAGCTCATGAGGCCTCACCACAATGAACACTATGTAACTGTCTACAGCATAAGTCGGTAAGGGGGTGACAGAAGGAGCTGCGTCAGGGTTTAATGCAACTGTGGGCTTAAAGCACCAGTAAACCACACACCGGCCCACGGGTGTCAGCACGAAAACCGCACCAGTTCGGAGGCGGCCAATTACGACGCCCCACTCCGCGCGGCCCCTCGGAGTTTTGCTTGTGGCGACAAAAGCTTTCTGCAAGGGTGGGGCTGTGTACTTGCGGTTTAAGATGACAGATGCACAAGGGAGAAGGGGCAGGAAAATGGGAGTTGGGCGAACACAGGTCAAAACAGGACAACAACACAACGCAGCGAGCAATGACTACAAAAAAGGTTGCGGCACAAACGAGACGATAAACCAGACGACGTCTGTCGGGTAGGATTTAAAGGCACTGATACAAAATGAGAGACAACACAACTTACTAATGAGGTAACAGGTGGATAGGCTGTGCTGCAGCAGTGTCTGAGCATAT